TGGTTCATTTCATAAAGGTTGCCAAATTGTTTTTATTTAAAAAAATGTTGGTTGATTTATTTATTGGTCTTCATGCAAACTGGTTATTTACTACAAAAAAAAATGCACCAAGGGAAAAGTGTACTACTTTAAGAAAATGGTGTAGGTTTGGAGAAATGAAGATCTTTACCTAGTATCAATTGAGAGAAAGTCAGACAAATAAAGAATCATGGTTGAGATGATCCCTCTCGTCCTGCTTTATTTGTTACAGGATCCAGTCTGGGTCAGTCACCAGAACCAGATGTTTAATCGTGGAGGCTTTTGGATTCGTGTTGGAGCCCATCCTCTCTCTCACCAGAATGTTATATTTATTGGTTAGATTTCCTGGTGCTTTTTCAATGTCTACCTTGTCAATTATTATTACTTTTTAAATTATAGCCAGAAAATAGAGGGGAAAAATGCATTCATGTGCATATTGGTTCTTCATAGGAAAATGGTCAGGATAAAATAGAGGTGGGACACATGAGAAAGAGTGCAGAAACATATGACAGAAGAAGGACGTACAATCAATTTCACAGCTACTAAGATTGTTGGCCGAGCAGGTGCAAAATTGGCCAGGGAAATGATTGAAACAGGCTCCTTGTCAGGCAACAGGATTGCTGATTTGCTTATAAGGTACTTAGGAACCAAGGACTTGGCAGCACAAGGAAACAACAGCCAATAGCCAGCCATCAACACAACTATCAACCAATAGGAAGCCACACTATTCCAGTAGAGAGAAATTCCCTGATGATGGGCTCCAGCATGAGTCCAAAAGCTTGGAAGACTAAACCTCTGGTCCCAGTGACCAACTCAAATTGTATCCTATGATAGAAGCTATCTGGTTTTGTTTTTTGAAATTATTTTCTTTGTTTCCTATTAGGATATTAGATATTTCATTTAATATTTTACGACATATTGACGGCTTGGATCAGCTCATTCAGTTAAAGAAACTTTTCCTAGTCAACAATAAAATCAACAAAATTGAGAACCTAAGCAACTTACAACAGTTGCAGATGTTAGAACTAGGATCTAATCGAATCAGGGTAAGATTTGTTTCTCTCTAAACATCACAAGAGTCAGCTAATATCCAGGCAATGCTTTCAAAATAAATCTGAATTGGAATATTAGGAGCAGACTCCGTATCATGTTAATTATAGACTAGGAAATGATGAAAATCCTAGGTGTAGAATGACAACAATTTGTAGAATGTTTTCATCTGCAGATATTTTTATATAGCCTGATTTTATTTTCCTTTTAGAAAAAGTGCTTTTTTCTATAAGTAATGGATTGATATGAACTGTGCTGCTAGGAATAATAATAATGAAAATCTTATAAAGCAAATTCTATAAAGATTCAATGCAAAAAATATCAGCAAATTTTTATGGTGTCTTTATGAGGAAAACTTAAAAAATACAGACTTTGAAATGTGAAGGCTGCTATTTTCCATCCTTTTCCCATAGCTTCCTTGCTTGCTATGTCCATTTAATTGACTGATAGAAAGTACAAATAGTCTATCATATCGCATGGCACTGTTCAGTTTTGAATAATCTCACAAATATAGGCATGTAATCATGATGAAAAGGACAAGTATGGCAATATGGGTTTGCTAGCTATACTATAATATTATTTACGTTAATATATTGGAGGTTATTTCTTTATTTGTAAAATTTATTATGCACCCATCTCACCACGCAGTAACTCTGGGTGGCTTAACAATATTAAAAGATAAAACAGGTTAGTGATGTGAAACTGGAATCTTGTTCAATATGGCTGTTTTATAGGCAATTCAGAATATTGATACCCTGACTAACCTGGATAGCCTATTTCTGGGGAAGAACAAAATCACTAAGTTGCAGAACCTGGATGCATTGACAAACTTGACAGTGCTTAGCATACAGGTACCAGTCCTGTGCTTTCTATTTTGATTGTCCTTGTATAATTTAACTTATTTGCCTTTCCTGTCTGCATAATTTCTAACTAAAATGAAATGACAAATGCTGTTATCACTTTGAATTTAAATATTTATTTTTCAGACCTTCGTTAAATTATAATTGAAATTGCATGTTTTTTTCTTTCACATACAGAATAGCTGTCTAGTACATATATTTCTTTTTCCCAAAAAAATACAGCTATTATGCCATAGAATAGCCTGTTAAAATATGTACATAATTTTTCCCCAAAATGCCAATGGAGAATACGATTTCCTAGAACCTGAAGAAGTTTAGTAAACCTTAAAAATGAGACAATATTGAAATGAAAATCATGTTTTTCTTTAATAGAATCATAAATGTGCTTTCTGGGAGTATAACTATTGCATTCCATCTGGCTAATTCAATGTTAGAAAATTGTGCATAGTTCTGACCAGACAAGATTTAACTTACTGGTAGTACTAGTCGTCTAGTTTCTTTTGAAAGGCATAAATACAGTTGGAATTGAACTAATGGGTTAAAGTATTAATGAAAATGACAAGAGCAAAATAATATGTATTGGGGCCAAATTGGGGTCTTTAGATATGTCTTCCAAGTGTGGGGTTTTTTTGGTTCTGAGACTACCAGAATAATCCTTATATGGAATTAATTCAGATTTTATACCTTTTCCAGAGCAATCGGTTAACAAAGATTGAAGGACTACAGAATCTGGTAAATCTGCGAGAACTGTACCTTAGCCATAATGGTATAGAGGTCATTGAGGGCCTGGAGAATAACGTAAGCTATTTTTTATTATTATTTAAGTTTGTACTACTCTTGAACGTGGCTCTTCGTAAAGAATGGATGGCCATTCTGAGTGGACAGGTTGCCTAGAAAATGACTAGCCCCTGTGGAGCTGTTGTCCTCCCTCTTAAAGCCCTTTCCCAAACCAACATGCCAAGTGTTGGCTAGAAACACTTCTGCTGAGACAAAACAGACTAACAGATGAAATGTGAAATGGCAATTTGATTTAACTTTGAAGATAATTTAAATTAAGAGACAAAGATGAAATGTTAAAGAGTGGAATGGGGAATTTAAGGAACATATTTAGCGATGGAGTTGATGTTATTGTAAGAGATTAGAAATTAAGGGCGATTAGCAATATTGTTTATGTACTAAGAAGAAAATAAGTTTAAGATAAAAAATATGGAAAGAGATAATATGGCTGAAATTGGAAACAGAGATATGATGTAAAATGGCGCAAAGAAAATGACATATTTCTACAGATAGAAGAGAATATTTATGGTTCAGAGTTGAACTGTTGGGTACTTGATGCTCTCTAAGTTTGGTTGTCTCAGTCCTGTACTAGCACTGATGTTACTTAGTTTAGTAACCAGATGTCTGCAAGAAAACCATCAAGCTCAGAGAACACCAAGGACCACACAAATTTCTAAATCATAGGTTTATCCTGTAGAAATAGATAGAGCAGAGATGAGAGAGGAAAACCAGGGAAATGTAAACATTTGAGAAGAGGAAGAAAAGCATTAAAATAATTTAAGAAACTGAAGCAGGAATAGAGTATGTCAGGATATGAATGTGATCACATATACTTTCTTCAGGGCTAGTTATTCTTAAATAAAAATCGTATGTTTAAGGGCATGTTGCCTAGCAAAAAACAACAACATATAGGAAGCAATAAAAACACCCAGAATGCTAGAAGATGTTCTCCAATTTTCCTTCTGGTAAGCTGTATTATTAACTGTACCCACAATCAGTCATTTTACAAGAGTACCTGCTACACATTTTGAAAATTCCAAATGCATAAACACACCAGAACATTACTATATCCCATGAGAATGTATTATGACTAGTGTGTTGTACTAGAGGCTTTGTAAGAGGGGTTTGTTTTCTGGATGGACTTGAAGGAGGTAGTCTAGTTCAAAGGAGAGACAACAAGATCATTTGAAGCAGCAGAAGTTGCAGGTCTCATATGGATCTCCGTTTTTGTTCTTTTGGTTTAAATAATAAGAGTTAATTTGGTGTTGTTGTTTTTTAACCGAAAGAAGGATTAACATGCTTTCCTAGTATTTTTACACCTGAAAATTTGTAAAAACAAAAATGTATTTTAAAATATTGTTGCATCTTATATAAAGGTTTCTTAAGTTTAATCCTCTTCCCAAAGAACATCTTTGATTTGGTTTTCTGTGAATTAAATATATCTCTTATATCTCTTGGTTCCTTTATTATTCTTCCCTAGAGTCGATGTCATGACATAAATATTTTAATCACATTTCGAACAATGAAGCAATATAGAGAGAGTCTCAACTCATCTGTGTTACCTTAGTAAAATTATATCCAAACTGTCTTGTTACTTAGATTGGTTGATATTAGGAAGAAAAATGATTTGCCTTTTCTGTAGTTGGTTACCAACAACCAATATGTTTATTGTGTGGAAGATGACTAAGGGTCCAAATATGTAGCTGATGAACTCTATGTATGCTACTGCATGGCATGTCCTTTAACTTTTAATAATGTTCTATGCAAGAATACAAAATCTGTGAGAAAACTAATGTCAGTTTTCTATGCATTTGTTTTAGAATAAACTTACAATGCTGGACATTGCAGCCAATAGGATCAAAAAGATTGAAAATATTACCCATCTAACAGAACTCCAGGAATTTTGGGTAAGTCTGCAGTCTTAAAACTGCAGTAACTTTAGTCAACAACATCTTTCCCCGTTGTTTCTGTCAGCAGCAGACTGAGTAAACACTATGAAATGCTTCTCTCTGATAGTGGGATTCATTCCCCTATGTTTATGATGGGCTTTATATGGCTTCTTCATACTATTCTACCGGGTTGGTAGCTGCTTCAACATGAATCCTTCCATTGCTGTTCTATCACTTTATGTGAAGTCCTTGCTCATATGGGACAAGCATAAGCTTTCATTTTTCTGTCCGTAAAACTATGAAAGGTTGATGTTGATGTCAAAATGCAGACAAATTCCACCTGGCCACAAGATTCCTCAATAGCTTGTTGAGTTTAAAACAGTATCCACATAGCAAGTAAAATACAAACATACAGAAACCTTCCACATCATAGTGCCATCTAAATATATTAGAACTATTTCTCCCAGAATTTCTGATCATGCTTCCTGGGAATTCTGGAAGATCCCTGTCATATCACAATAAACAATGCTGGAATAAGCTTTTGTGTGCTTTTACAAATGGTAGGAATAGTTGCAATCAAAGCCTTCTAACACAGAGGAGGTTGCCATCATCTTCAGGACCTACATGATGTTGCCTTGCTTTTTGTGTTGCATCATGATTTATCTCTCTTGTATACAGATTTTAGAATAGGGATATCATTCTTTTAAATCCATATTGAATTTTTCATTTACCAGTGTGAGTACATTGTGAACTCCTGACAGATAATACTTTTAGGGGAGAATTCATGTTCACTGTTATTTCCTATCTACTATAAAAAATGGGCTTCAGAGCATGCATGAGCTCCCACATTATGTAGATAAATAGTTAATGCACAGGATTCTGGTTTCAGGACCTATCAGGCTAACCTCAAGAATGTAGAACAGTACTCTGTTTGCTTACACATAGCAAGCAGCATCTTGCCAGAGCAAACACTTACTACTCAAAGCCTGTTAGGTAAGTTCCCCGTTAGAAGAGCAAGTACGTTCAGCGAAGTGTTGTGAGAGTTGTGTTGGAGAACACACAAACCAGCATACAGAGACACTGCAGTTTAAATAGGCTTTTACTTTCGTGGAAATAGAGGTATCAGAGTCCATCAAACAGTCCAAGTCATACACGGATAAGACAGTCAGTCATCAATGTCTTTCAGTTAAGGGATAATCCAAATAACATAGTCCAGTATCATATAATCAGTCCGGTACACAAAGTTTGCTAACAGTTGCAAAACTTACAATAGCTCACGGAACTTTCTAACAGCCAGTTTCCAAAACACTCAGATCAGATCAGCCCAGCATCTAACGAAAACAGAGAGCTAACAGTCGTTCTGGCTCCCTCTTTTGGCCGATTGAGGAAACCAATCACATTTTACAGTATGATTTAAAGAAACAGGTATAGCATTACATGATTTATATATTGCCAATCCAACCTTTAGAATTATATTCCCAACAAAGCCTAATGGATATACCATGGGAGATACTAGAGAGTGGCTATCCTTACCCACTTTTCTCTGTCACCTAGTCAGCACTAGGCTGCACTGCCTCTTCTTACTCTCCTTTCTAGAATATGCTCCCTTCCTGGGAAATGGTCTTTTCACTGTTGTCCATCCCCCCTAGCTCCCCTTCTAGAACAGTTCAGTTCAGTTCAGTTTATTAAATTTATATGCCGCCCTTTTCCCCCGAAGGGGACTCAGGGCGGCTCACAACTCGAACCAGGGAGGGGGATACAGACAAAAGATTTAAAAACAACAACATAACAATATATAATTTAAAACTCACAACAGTCATACCATTCGAGACAGGGGCAACAGCTCTTTAGCCCCAGGCCTGTCGGAACAACCAGGTTTTGAGGGCTTTGCGGAAGGCCTGGAGGGTGATGAGGGTTCGAATCTCCACGGGGAGTTCGTTCCAGAGGGTCGGAGCAGCCACAGAGAAGGCTCTCCTCCGGGTAGTCGCCAGTCGACACTGGCCGGCGGATGGGATTCGGAGGAGGCCTAATCTGTGGGATCTAATCGGTCTAGTGGAGGTAATTGGCAGCAGGCGGTCTCTCAAGTACCCAGGTCCAATACCATGAAGGGCTTATCACTCACATCACCAAATAATTGGTGATGAGGCAGAATAAGCTTCACCTTCTCAAGAGTTTTCTATTGCAGTAGAAGGAGCATGAGGTAAAAATGATAGCTATGAACAGTTACTAACCCATGTCTTAAACTTCTAGCCATGTTTATGTTCTCTATGCTTCTCAGATGAATGATAATTTCATTGAATGCTGGAGTGATTTGGATGAGCTGAAAGGAGCCAAGAAGTTGGAAACAGTCTATCTAGAGCGAAACCCTCTCCAGAAGGATCCCCAGTACCGTCGCAAAATCATGCTGGCTCTTCCATCTGTCCGGCAGATAGATGCTACCTTTGTCCGATTCTGAACCTTCCCTGGCCCTTTGCCTTTGCCTTTCTTCCTCTCAGAGTGTCACAACTGGGATTTTTATCCACATACTGTATCCTCTGTCTTCAGCCTGCTGACACTTACACAGCGAATGGCCAACCAGAAGCACTGATATCAGACCTTGTATACAATGCACACACTATTGTTGTTTTTGAATATTGTTGTTATGATTATTATTATTATTAAACCCTAACGTGTGAAATCTCCTGGTCATAATGGTGTCTGTCTGAATTAGGCAAACTATCAAATAATTGGTCCTCTAAATGTTTTCAGTGCTCTGACAGGCAGCTTAGAACTAAAATAGCCTCTGACAGGGGTTAATGTATTGAAACATATTACTTTCGTTGTTTTTTTTCTTAAAATGAACATAGAAAACTTAGAATCATCCAGTGAACACGGAAGCAATCGGATGTATAGAATAAATTGCATTATATTGCTGAGTTATTTGCTTTCACCTATGTACATTTTCTCCACCATGTAATTGACTTCCTCTTTTCAGTGTACACATCCTTGTGTTTCTCACTATACAAAGATGGATATATTCAATATGCCTTTATTTACTTTTCTGATTGCCGGCTCTGCAAAGCTTTATGCTTTTGACATGCTATTCTGTACATTATTTCTGTTCTGCAAAAGATGGTAGAGCAAGCTTTATAATCAATATGAAATGAATTTCAAACACTAATTATTAACAGAAGAAGACACAATCCTATAAATGATTGATTTGGTCCTAAACCAGTCAAATAACTACAGGTGGTAGAATGGTATAAGTGAAATATAAGTGTATTTGGGTGTCAACAGTTCCTGATAGGCAAAAAAAACCAGTGTTGATTACAGGAGTAACTGAATTTTGCAGCCAAGGGTTGAAGACATGGTTTGTTTTCACAGGGGCCCTTTAGGCTTATCATTGCCTTGGAAAGATGCTGGCAGTAAAGGTGTATGATTCCCTCTTAAATATTCACATGATAAATCTGAATAAAACCACAAGTAGTCAAATTGTTTGCATTTTTTTCAAGTGTGCTGTATTGATGACTGTTACAGCTGAGCTTAGATTAATGCTTTGAATGTTTTCTGTAGAAAAAACCTGATCATTCCAAATATTATCAAGAATAGTCAATTGTATTTCTGTAGATATTTTGATCCTCCAGTTATCATCCCTAACTAGCAAACAGTAAGCCCCATACATCCAGAAGCCACCAGATTGCCTATCCAGGGTAACTTAATACAGTGGCTTTAAGTGTAAAAAAATAATAATCTCCAGCCTCTCTATACTAATATTGCAAAAATTGATTGATTGAAATCTCTGGTCATCTAGGCAAATTGTTCTGAAATTTGTTTTGATCCCACATTAGTATTTATAGAACAGAAATTAATACATTTGATCTTTAGAAATATAATTTTTCTAATGTCTACATTAAGATGCCTAGTTTGAAAATTTTAGCTGATATCTAGATCAATGTTACGTTTTACCAAATTTTTCTGGAATTCCATTGATTTACTTGAATGTATGCCCCTTTAAAAATTGTCTTGAAATAAAGCATTCTTTGCTTTGGAGAATTATTAATTATAATATGCTGCTTATACCTTTAAGGGATATAATTGGGCTCCTTTTAAATGTTTTCCTGTTGTCTGAAGAGGAGATCTAAACTTGCTTTGCTGGCATTGCTTTGTAGTCCTCCAATGCCAGGCACTCCATCATTCTTCAGTTATGATCTCATAAATGAGGGCATTAGAACTCTTACATCAGTAACAGAAGGTGAGGTTTTAACAACTCTATAGGATAGGTCTATTTAGCTAGTTAAGGTGCAGTTTGCAATTTGAAACTAATATGTTTTGACCTGCCTTAGGCTTTTTGACAAGTTTTAGTCAAATCACCAATTTCTGTTCCAAATGTTTATCTTTATATTAATGATCTATGCTTCTGAACGTCAGACAGACAAAAAGGTTCAGGAAATGCATTAAGATGATTAGACTATTTGCAATACTGTGCTATGTTTGAGCATTTTATATCTTGGTTTGGGAGCTTTGCATGCAAAGAGCCATTGACATCTCTCAGGCTTTGAATTAGATTTACAATTTTGGGTGCTCCTTTGGCAAAAGCATTCCTTTGAAATACATAAAGGAAAATTAGGTAGTGCCAGAAATCCTGAGCCTTTTACATATTTTTCCTGACCAAGAGAATGTAGTCCATTTATTTACTTATCTTTTAAATTTTAAATATGGTTTTCCCCTTCCCAAATGTCAGCAATATGATAATATTTTACCTGAACATCTTTCTTGCTCTACACTTTGCAACTCTCTTTAAAAAGCATATGGAGAATTTAAATTTCCCATTACAATTCACAGCCATAAAATGATTTTAAATGATTCTGTTCTACTGATCATTGTAAAATTGATTCTTTAATTCTCACCATTTCACTATGTTATTAATTTTCACTCACTTTTAACATCTCAGAAGCTGCTTTTTTAGTTGTGCACAAGTAAAAGTAAGCATATATATGGTACATCTATATTCTAATCAGATTTCAGGAGAAATGCTTAGAATAGCACTGATATGAGAAATTAGGAGAGTGATTAATGCAGTGCCCCCAAATAGGATGAATACAATAATAACTAAATGCAAACATTACATAAATCTGTACATGTAAATGAGAAATACGATTATTACAATAATGATAAATAGAAATTCTACAATTTAGGTAGAAATACAACTTTGTGTTGAAACCAGGATGATCTCTGTAACCTCTGTCCAGATGTTCTCAGTAGGAACTTAAAAACTTGATGCCTACCCTGTTTGGGAAGTTTAATAATAAGTTAAATATTGTAATATTTAATTACAATACAGTTCTACATTTTTATAGTTATTGAAGCTCAACAACTGCTTTATTAAAACTCTTAAGTGAGGTTCGCCCTTTCTACAGATTTATAATGTAATAAAATATATATTAGGGATGAGGATATGGAGAGAGAAGCTAATCAGTGGCTTCTCAGTATCTTCAGTTGTTACATTATTCTCATTTTTTTTCTCCCTATATCTTTTCTTTTACACAGCTGTAGAAAAAATGGTTGAAGTGTGAAATCCCCCTCTCCTTTTTTTCATGCATGTCTTTTTTCTTTATATATTTCCTTTAAGAAAAAATTTGATAACGTGTCTGCTTACGTTTACACATGGATCTGCAAATCCACACCCTCCTATCAAACAAAGGCAAGGTCTGCTAAAAGCAATTAAACAGGATTTCTCTGGGGAAACTACTTGCAAGTTTGAGATTACCTCACCTTGTGCATACACAGAATTCTGCTTTGAGATTACCCCACATTATGCATACAGTCAGGTATTGACCAAAGCAGAATTCTGCTGGAGTGTATGTTGAATAATGTCAGAAAGGCATTGCCAATCAGTGGCATTTGCTGTCTTCTAAAGTAAAGACAAGTGAAGATAAAGGCAGGAAATAAGCAACATGATATACAGAACTTAGCATCCTTTCCATTTCCTTGGAGTGTCTCAGATTTGTCAGATGAACTTGTCAGCTGATAATCATTCAATCCAGAGAAAGATGGTACAGGTGCAATAAGCTCATCGCAATACCAGGTAGTTTGGTAAACAACAAAAATGTTCATTATATATGATGCATAATTTTCAATGACACAATACAAAGAAGTGCATACAGAGCTGCTTGCTCATCTTGTATCTTATCCCCAATCTTATTTCCAAAATTTTTACGTGACCCTCCCTTCCTTCTCTCTAGATACAGATTTGTTGATATGTGGAAAACTGAAAGGCATTCTTCTAGTGTGTTTCTTATGTAATGTTCCCCCTTATTTAAAAACCAGTAATAGAATACTGGCCTCCATATGCAACAGTTGAACAGTAACTATGCCACAGTAAAATATTCCATTAGTATCTTTCACCCAAAGTTGCAAATGAGCCATTTCGTAATCTGCAAGAGACAGTAAAATACTTCCCAGGTGATTTGCTAAAATAAGAATAAAAATAAAATCCATAGTGGGAAATTTTGGGGAAATTCAGATCAGATTACCCCCACATCCAGATTTTGTGATTACCAACAGGTTGAATAGTTTCAAAAAGTTGTTTAATTAGCAACACCTGTGCAATGCTTTTGCTGAGAGTAAGTATTTTAGTGTATATTTCTATTGCGTACATTTCTTGTTTCAATCCCTCATTTCCCAACATTTCTACTGTTGGGCTTTGGGGAGGAGTTATCTGGTTGGGAGAGGAAAAGGAAGAAAAAATTGTTAAATTATTTCACACACACACAAGAAAAGAAATTGCAACATTACACAATTGCAAAATATTTTTCTTTACATTTCTCTGGACTGCCTATTTTGTAGATTTCTTCAGTTTTATATAAAACAGTCCCTGGCCTGCAACAAAGTGAATGGTGAAAGGCGGCAGGGAGCAAGAAGTGTTGGAAAATGAGGTTTGTGAGTCATGCCATGCAGGATGTGTTTTAGCATTTTTGAAATGGGACTGCAGACTTCATGTGTGCAGTGCATTTCCAGGCTTGCAATAAGATGTTGTAAGAATTGACATTTGGTAGATGGGATGAGAACCATCTTGGACTAATTGTTTGGTTTACATTTATATAATACACTAGGATACATTATAATTGTTATAATTATAAAATATAATAATCCTTCTTTCTGCCTTGATGTATTATATAAATCCAGGTCAGGAGAAGGCAATGTGTTATGAGGCATCAGATAATAGAGTTAATTCAGTAAACTTACGGAGAAGCTATATTGTGCTAATACAGAATTTGTTAGAAGAGGCAGATATTCCTAAACATCTGTTAGAAACCTCAATGATATCATGCGTATCATGATATTATTGAACAAGTGGTACAAATGATCTCTGTGTTGATAACAATGCTCATGGCATTATTGGTTCATCTTTCTTCCTGGTAGACACTCAGGCAGAAATACTAAGTTCTTGGCACACGTACCGCTGTATAAAAGCTGAATTTAAAATATCCAATTGCTAAATAGTCTGCCTTCTGAAATGAAAATAGCATAGCAAGAATTAAGGCCATTTAAAATATTAAACCTTAAACCTTAGATGAAGTATTTGGAAACTTTTCACCACACATCAACTGGATACGGACTTTTTTAACTGCTACTAAGAGAATTCAGTAAATGGAGCCCTAGCTCCCTCCTTCCACCATCTGGCAGAATTGTCTTTTGGAATCTTGAGAGAAATATTCCCATCTTGTACAAAATGATTCTGCCAGAACATTTAGATAGTTTGATCAAGGGTCCCACTCCATGATTGATGACTGTGAACCAGAAGGCAGGTCCTGATATTATGGAATATGCGACAAGGATCCTAGAGCGCTCCTGATTTAGCTGATTTTCCACCATGTCAACAATTTTTCCCTAAAAGGAAAAGTTGGTTTCTGGGTGGCAGTTATTCAATAGAGCTGGAGTAAGAGATGGTTTCTTCAAGCGGAGGATCACTGCCTCTTTCAATGAACATAGCACCTCATCCCCTCAGATGATGTCACTTCGGAATTCACCTGACCACACACATCCTTAGCTACTTGATGAGAGTCAGATGGGGCATGGATCCATTCCACAGTTGATTGAGATAGTAAAATAAAATGCCTTACACACTTCACAAATTCCAGATACTCAAAAGAAACACCGCATTGCAAAATATTGCCTACTTATTGACATGACTGCCCGACTGACATCTAAACCCTGAGCAAATATGAGTAATATGAGTAGCTTTCTGCAAAGAAACCCACAAAAGCATCACAATTGGTTGTAATAATTTTATCCTCCCCTCCCTTCAAAACACTCTGGATTATTTGAACAGAGTAATCAAGCAGGAATCTGAAGCTGCAATGAGAGAGGAACATTACAGATGTTTTGTTTTTCTTGTTACCTGTGTAGACCTGAATCTGATGTGTAGCAGTGTTCGGTTGTATTCAATTTTGATTTTATGCTCGTGTCTTTCTAGGTGTCTTTACACTCACTTCAGCTCCTATAGCTCTTCTGAGAACCAGGGAGCTAATCAGGATTGGTGAGTTGAAAGGCAATCTCATTCTTAATTAATCTCATCTAAAGTTATAGTTATTTATTTACTTTATTACATTCATATTCCATCCATCTCTCTATCAAGTGATTGAATCACCAGAGGTCAGCTACGCTCAAGATAGATGGAATTTCCCAGATGCCTTCAGAAAATGTTCATAATCCATCAGGCAACCAATGTAGGGTATNTCAAGTGATTGAATCACCAGAGGTCAACTAAGCTCCAGATAGATGGAATTTCCCAGATGCCTTCAGAAAATGTTCATAATCCATCAGGCAACCAATGTAGGGTATTCTAATTGACCATGGCCTTTGGAGAACCATGGTATTCACAATCTTGACAAAAAGTGACCTGACCACACAAAGAACAGATATAATGTCCTCCTTCTCCAGATCATGTCATTCCTGCCCCAAAATAAAAATCCGATCTTGCATGCAATCACTCTTATGATTTGAGGCAAGATTACCCAAGACAAGGTTATGGTCACCTGGACGTTATGAAATTCTAGGGATCATAGACTCAACCCAAAGGCACAGAGCTTGAAAACACTGATTAATAAAGATCTGGGCAATCCAATTCCACTCAATTAATAAAGTTGAGAAGCTCCAGAAGGGCCACTGCTGGACAGGAGGGTAGCCAGTACACTAGAGGCATCTCGAGCTGACCCTGAATCCCACATCCATGTATCTCTGGGGCCGTATTACTAATAACTGCCAAGATCACATGAATTACCACAACTCCTTTTCCCAAATCTTATCATTATAGATACTTCAGAACATGAAACCCAGCCTGACAGATTTCAGATAGGGTTATATCTCCTTCATTGTCTACTAATATGCATGAAGTCTCTACATTTATCTGTTTATTTTAAAAAACTTATCAACACTTTTTAAACTCCAGTCTGATCCAAAGAGTGGTATGAATAGATTAGGTATCTCCTCTATACAGAATTGTCATTTACAGAGGCAGTATCCAAGTGCCCAATGATTCAACCATTCAATCTCTTAGTTAGGGCTACTGTTTTAGAAAAAGGAACCTGCACCAATGTGCAAATGTCCTTCTATAATATCAGATGGCCCTCCCCTGCCATATCTTCTCTGTCCAATGTTTTAACCTAGCATGAAAAATAATACAGCATTAGCAGCAGAAAGATACACTTTACAAGTGCATAAAATAAGGAAGCAAAAAGTAATTTTAAAAGGTTCCACCACAAAACCGCGTTTGACTAAACCGCGCTCAACGAAACCGGGTAGCTGACGTCATCAACAGTGCGACAACAGCGCGCAGGCAGTAGCACGCTGTAAACGCTAAACCTAAAATTAATCCCTAAACCTAACCCTA